CGATTTCAACAAACAGTGTCTTTATGACATTCATGAATAGTCTGTGATCTTTTTCAAAATCTCAGATAAGGTAGACAGTGTTGAAACATTGAGCAAATCAACTAAGATTTTAAAAAGTATATAATAAAAAGTCTCCCCTCCTGACCAAATGTTGAAAACAGCTACAGTAATTAAAGCAGTGATACTCATGCCAAAAGAGGCAGAAAAATATGAAGAGTCTGGAAATAGTTCCCAAATATAGAGAGGAATTTGTTATGTGATATTTTTGTGTTAGTGAGAAAGAGGTAGTTTAGGCAGTAAGTGATTATCTGGATATTTTAGAAAAAAATACTGTTTTCTATGCTTATACTTTAATCCCCATAGATTGCAGATAATGTTAATTCTTCCCAAATTGATCTAGAGATTCAGTCCAATCAGAATTCTAGCTGGTTTTTTCATTGAAATTGATAAATTGACTCAAATTTATATGGAAATGTGTGTGGACCTATTGCATTCCTGGGCTTTAAGAGCCAATATGTGATTGGACTCTTTCCTTGACTTAGCAGTCACAGAAGCATAGAAATGGCACTTACCTCAGCATAATGACAATGTAATTCATACAGTGGAGAAAATGGAGGTCCAAAGGTGACGTGATCTGCTCAGGGTCACACAGCTTGCACATGTCTTTCACCCAGGCAAGGCAGTCTGGCTCCCGAGTCTGAAATCTTGACATCCTACTACTCTCTAAGAGAAGTGCTGTTACCCTACATATTTGCCAGCTGATCAGCTTTGTGAATATTTACCAATCTGATATGTAGAAAGTAATCCTTATTAATGGCAACATTGATTAACTCGTGAACTACCTGTTTGCTCATTTTTCTTGGCGTTGCTTGCCTTTTTCTTGTGATTTCTAGGGCCTATTCTCACGACCACTTTATTTGTATTATTTTGCTTGTTTCAGTGACTGACCCTGAGGCCTGTTACATTGGCACAGAGCCTTGGAAACCCAAGGAAGCTTTGGAGGAGAATGGTATTATTACTGACAAGGCAGACATATTTGCCTTTGGCCTTACTCTATGGGAAATGATGACTTTGTCTATTCCACACATGAATCTTTCAGATGATGATGAAGGTATGAATGTAGTTTTTTAAAACATAAATCCCAATCTCTTTACACTAATTTATACAATTTCTATCTTTCCATTAAGTTAAAATTTAATAGAGCACATCGTTAGTACCAAATTAGTCATCTGATGTAGATTAATACTATCTAAGCTTAACCTCATACACATGAGATGTAGATTGAGAATAGGGAGATAACTTTGCTTCTCTGGGTTTTCTTAATTTATTTTAAAAACTCCCCTTATGTGAGAAAAAGATTGGAAAGCTCTCATAAGGAAGGGTGTAGGGGTTGATAACCTGTAAGTCCAAGACAGTAGTTACATCTACTTGATGGCAGGACAATTGAAGAGACTGCCTATGATATAATGGAAAGCATACTGGATAATAAATTCTTCCTTCACGAGGGTGCGCTATTAAGCTTTTCCATGACTTAACTGATTTACTATTTTAATCTCTGACTCCTTCAAGATAAAACTTTTGATGAAAGTGACTTTGATGATGAAGCATACTATGCAGCTTTGGGAACCAGGCCACCTATTAACATGGAAGAATTGGATGAATCGTACCAGAAAGTAATTGAACTGTTCTCTGTATGTACTAATGAAGACCCTAAAGATCGTCCTTCTGCCGCACGCATTGTTGAAGCTTTGGAAATAGATGTGCAGTATTAAGTATGGCTTGTGTATGTAACTATTTACTCTGATACATTTATATAGTTACTATAATGATTTGTAGTTAGTTATTAGACTCTTTGGAGGTGGCCTATTTGAAGACCATAGTATCTTGATAACATTTGAATAACTATTTCTAATATATTTCATATAAGCACTTGGAATTATACTGGGTTTTCTATGAAGTTTAAGAAACTAGCTACACAAGTACTTTGCTCATGCAGACTTAAAACACTAGCAACAAAATGCTGTAAACTGTTTAACATTAATTTGAATTGAATGACCATTACTTTTATTAATCTTTCTCAAAAATTCTCTATTTTAATAGATATATTCAAATTAGCACTTCATACAGTATAAAATAAGCCTACATTTGTTTATGTTTTAAAACATCAAACCTTTTGCTGGCCTTCCTTGGCTGATGTGCTTATTAAATGGACACTGGAAGCTGAGGAGAATATGACTCAAAAGAGTAGCTCCTTACATATTTCCAGACTCTGGTTACAGCTCGTCTTGCTTTCTTGGATCTTCTCAGATCTTTGTTTTTTGCTTTAATTTATTAAATGTATTTTCTGTAATGAGATTCTGTTTTACTTTTTATTTACTAATCTGTATCTTAAACACTTCAGTTCTGGTGTAAAAATAATAAAACTCAAATAGGGTGATTATTATAATAAAGGACATTTTGGTCCCAGAACTTATCTCAGCATTATTTTATACTTTTAAGTGTTGTTGAATGCATGTCAGGTTTCTTTCCCTCTCTTGACCTTATTTTGCTAATCTATAAAATGAGGTTGATTTGGATCTATAGTTTATCTGTGAGCTACAGCCCCTCAGAATTTTCAAAATTATCTAATTGTGAATCTAGGTGATATCACATAGACATGATTTTAAAATTACTGTTACAAGGGGGGCTCTTAGATTAGGTACCACTGCACTCTGAGCTTTAAAAAAAATCCTATAATTTACTGGCGGGTTCCTTTTAGCACAAGATTGTACCAAGCAATAGTGCAAAGATCATTAATTAGCACATCTTCCATCTAAATATTATTAAAGTGACAAAGTAAATTGAAAGTTGACTTTGGCTAGGCACAGTGGCTCACACCTATAATCCTGACACTCTGGGAGGCTGAGGTGGGAGATTGCTGGAGGTCAAGACCAGCCTCAGCAAGAGTAAGACCCCATCTCTACTAAAAATAGAAAAAATTAGCCAGGCACGGTGACTGTGCTTGCAGTCCCAGCTACTCAGGAGGCAGAGGGAGGATGACTTGAGCCCAGGAGTCTGAGGCTGCAGTGACCTATGATGATGCCACTGCACTGTACTCAGGGCAACGGAGAGAGACCCTGTCTCAAAAAAAAGTTGATTCATAAATTCTATTTGTGTATTATTTTGCACTCTGATATTCAATGGGATCTATTATCCTCACTCTGACCTATATGTCATTCTTTTTTGCCAAGCTAACAAAGCAGCTTCTCCCAGCCCATTTTCTTCCTAGTAAGAATAACAATTCCTACTTTTATAAGACATAAAGCATGAAGGCATCTTTCTTTTTAACACATAAACCAGTACTTTTCATTGACAAATTTGTTTTCATTCCTTGATATAATATTAAAACCATGATGGCTCACCTGATTTTTGGTTCTTCTGAAGGTTCTTCTTGCTTGCATGAGCCGTTGTTGAATTAGGTGTTCCTGCAGAGGGATGATCGCTAGAGGTTTCCATTCGGCCATCTTGTTCCACCTCTCTGACAGATTTGTGTTCAGTTTCTATAGTTGGGATATCTAAATAAGAACAAACTAATACCAAGGACTGGGCCAGCAAATTCACAGCACTTGCCTATGGCAGACATTACAAAATAATCCCAGCATGCTTTTCCTCTTGAGTCTGGGTAGGTCCTGGCAACCTCAACACAAGATTGCAATTTGCTACCAACTGCAAAAAAACTTTAAATTCTTATTCTAGAACTTGCTCTTTAAGTCTCAGACATATCTTCTTTTTTGGCCATTGTTTCATTCTCAAGAGAACAACATGACTGGATTGAGGGCAGCAGGACTACCCTTTTGCTGAATTAGTAAATCAAAATAGCCTTTCCCAAGTAGCTTTCTTACCTCCCAGTAAAATCTCTCCCTTTATCAGTTTAAGGCCTCTAAAAGCCTGTCTGTACCTCTGCAAGATGGAGATAATCAGGTGCTTAAGAAATGTTAAGGATTATTCTTAAATAACAAAACCTATGATAAATAGGAGCAATAGAAAATAGAAAACAAACCTGATAGGATCAACAATGCCAAAGGTTGAGCCTTTAAAAATACTAACAAAATTGATAAATCCATAACAAGACATCTAGAGAGAAAGACATGTCATGAATGAAAAAAAACAAACTTTACTGCAGATCTTGCAGATACCCAGTCTCATTAATGAACACATGAAAAATCCTAAACAAAATATTAGTTAACCAAAGGCAGTAATATAAAAAAGAAAAACATCAAGTTGGTTCTATTTCAGGAAGGCTAGATTGATTTAACATTTAAAGAACACCGTAATCACCATATTAGCACAAGAAAAATAAAAATTATCTCAAGATAGAAGACCTTGGTACCTGCTTAATCTACAATTTGTTGATCAAAATAAAAATTAGAAAGGATTCTTAAATAATTCTGAGGACATTTAACGTAGGTTAGGCTAAGCCACGTTTGGTAGGTAGGGTGTATTAAATGCATTTTTGACTTATATTTTTAACTTATATTTATTGGGACATAACCCCACCATAAGGAGGGGAGCATCCATATTTGGAATTTTTCTGCACGGATTTGTCTATTCTCTTCCATTTATTTATTTCAATCATTTAACAGTATGGACTCATGGATACTTATTTTATACTGCTTTATATTGTTGCTCAAATTGTTCCAGTGTTAGCCATTTGGAGCACTTTCAGTGTCCCTTTGACTTGCCCCAATCATTGTGGACTTTTTTTAAAAGCACTTTTGTACTTTCTGGCATTAGATATGCTCCAAGACCTCCAGGAGGATACCTGAAACCACAGATAGTACTGAACTCAATTGCTGTCAATCAGAACACGTTTCTATTCATATCTTCCACCCACAAATTTAATGCCTTTTCCATCTTAACTGAACAATTACCATATGCTGTGGCCATAGCTTTTACAGCTTTAGGGCGACGGCAAAACCAGCACAAATTTCTTTTTCCTTCTGCACACCTCCATGGATAGAAAATTCGTTCTTAACCATTGGTCTTAGCAACCTCAGTGTACAATTTTTCTTTCCTTAAGTCAAGGACTTTCACCTTTTCACTTAAAGGAAGTACTTTACCATTTCTCTTTGGCATATCTTAATTGCCAACATCACTACTCTTGTACTTTGGGGCCACTATCAAGTAAAATAAAGGTTACTTGAACACAGCACTGCGATGCTGTGACAGATCTGATAAACGCCATCTAGTAAGTGACTAACAGGAGGGTAGCATATACTGTATGGATATACTGGACAAAAATAGGACTCACATCCTGGGTGGGATGGTGCAAGATTTCATCACACTATTCTGAACAGCAGCAATTTTAAACTTATGAATTGTTTATTTCTGTAATTTTCCATTTAATAATTTTGAACCATAGTTGACCTTGAGTAACTAAAACCTCAGAACACAAAACCGTTGATAGGATAAGAGGGTACTGCTGTGCAAGATGTTCTAGGCTCATCTTATACATAGTCTCAGCCCTAGAATGAGCCATTTCTCCAAGGAGCCCCAGCAGTTCCTTTTTTTGGAGAAAGGTATTGGAAACCAAGATCTTGGTGTTAGGTGTGCACGTTGCTGTTGGGGTATCATTGCTTTGAGGTCTTCTTAGTGTATTTTCTTCCTTTATGTGTTATATTTAGATAAAGAAAGAAGAGCCCAAGCAAACTAAAAGTATCAACAGCAAATCATGGCATGTATGTAAAATAGAAATAGGTACTTGAAATACAACATGTCTAAGACACACTGACATGAAGCAAGTTGCAAAATAACTGCATATATATTTAATTAATCTGAAGTAATATACACTAAACCCAAAGTAGGTTTACGGGGAACTTCTTTTAGTAATCTCTATTTCTGTATTATCTGAATTTTTTTTTTTTTTTTTTTTTTACAAAGAGCACATAGTATTTTCATTATAATAATTTTAAAAAATCAGATTATATGAAATTAGAGTATTTAAAAGAATTTTAATTGATATATCACAGAAGCACTGAGCAAACAAAATAGGTAATAAACATTTTTAAATAAAATTTTTAAAGAATTTTAAAGAACAGCAGTGCAGAAAATAGTATTAAAATGTTTGCATTACTACACACATTTTAACACTTCTACATTCCTTTTGGAACCCAGGCTTTTAAGTTTTGGAAACATGTTAACTTACAGGCAAAAAAAAGATTGCAGATAAGCAGATTCTACACAGAGTTACAACCTGGAAAGCTACTCACCTACAGTCTTATTGCCAGACAGTAAATGGTTTTTTACAATCAAAACAATCTGAATAATTTTTTTTTGCTTTACAAAGTATGCATGAAACAATTATACTAGAAAAATGTGTACACATTTAGGTGTAGTTACATAATATCATATTCTCTGGTCCACCAGCCTAGATATATTTACTAACCCTGGTTCTGTAACCACACATTTTGCAAAGATTTTTGCCAGATGTCTCAGAACAAGAAGGTGCATTTTCAAAAAGTAAAAAAAATACAAAAACGAAACCAAACAAATTAGGCATCCATTTTGTTAACGACATCCATTCCTAGTAACAAGTTCCTAAAGTAGTACTATCAATATTTTCAAGCAACAAAAATCAATGAAATGATAATAGTGTAATTACTAAGTATAATTTTAATTGAATTTGAGGACAGTTGTATATTTGATTAACTTTCAAAAAGATTAAAGCATTAAGCCATGGAATTCTGCTCTACATAAGTGGATATAAGATGTCTTACTCTTTCCTTACCATCTTTTCTTGTTACAAATAAGAAACTCAAAATACTTTCTAAATATATTCAGACTGAATTCCTGTAGAAGAAGAACCTATAAAATGAGAACTTTGTATATAGAATTCAGGAATTACCTTTAAAATTGAGCATGGGAATTTTTTTGCCTGGGTTTAAATTTGCCTCTTTGCTTCTGATGTGGCATGAGATAATCCTGGTCTAAAGGTGTGCTTTATAAAAGACCAGGTTGGGGTACATTTTTTCAAGACCTCTTGAGGCAACGTGCTCCAGGCTGGTCACACACATTCAAGTTCAAAATAAACCTGTTTAAATTAAAAAAACAAACAAACAAAAAAGCCTAAAAAAACAAAAGACCAGGTCACATTTCTATAGAAAACACCTTGCTTTGTCAATACTCTTACACAAGAGTTAAATAATTTTTCAGTTATAGCTACAAAATTTCATAATTAAGGATTCATAGTGCTAATCAATACATCACCCAAAGAATTTCCTTTTCTTTGAATCCCTAGATAATTTTTGAACTTATCCACACAGTAACTGTTTTACATTTGAAATCAGCTTTAACCATTAAAATTGTATACCAGGAAATTAGGGGTGTTGCAGTACTTGGTTGCAAATAACTTGCCATCTGGTGTTGGGTCAGAGAATGCTATTTCATCAGTGCTGAGAAAACAGCCAAACATGAAGCAATTCCTAAAAAAGAAGAAAAGATGATTTACCAATGGAACCAACTTAATTTTAATTTTTTTTTTCTTTTTGAGACAGAGTCTCCACTTTGTCGCTGGAGCTAGAGTACAGTGGCATCATCATAGCTCACTGCAACCTCAAACTCAAGCAATCCTGCCTCAGCCTCCCCAGTAGCTGAGACTACAGGCGCACACCACACCTGGATAATCTTTCTATTTTTTGTAGAGACGGGGTCTCACTCTTGGTCAGACTGGTCTTAAACTCCTGGCCTCAAGCAATCCTCCCACCTTGGCCTCCCAAAGTGCTAGGATTACAGGTATGAGCCATTACACCCCTTAATTCTAAGTAAACATTAGCACAATTTAAGTAAATACTCTTGACTTAAATTGACATTTTTATTATAATAAGTGATAAAATGCCTCAGATTTTAGAGATAGAAGTGTAATATTTCACAGAGAAGAAAATAGATGCAGAAAAAATTCTGCTGAGAGGTGAAGGGAAACACACAAATCATCCTGCTGACTCTAGGCTACCCATAGTAAAGAGCAACTAATAGATCACATTGCTAATTAAAAGCCACAGATAATGAGAACAAAAAACCATTACCAATTTTAACCAATAACTGTATTCTTTTCAAGTAAAACATGCAGTCAGAGCTTTAAAAAGGCAAAAACTAATCTGCATTTTGACTACAATTCTCTTTAATCCTGCTCACTAGGATAGAGGTTAAAAGAATTCAACAAAATTGAGGGACATTCTATAAAATAACTGGCCTGCACTCTTCAAATTCTTCAATGTGGAGAGGCAAAGAAAGGCTGAGAAACTGTCCCAGATTAAGGAAGATTAAGACTAAAGATATGTGACAACTAAACATAAACTGTGTGATTCTGGACAGGAAAAAAAAAATGCCGTGAAGCACATTGGAGACAACTGATGAAACTGAAATATGAACCATCAATTAGATAAAAGCATTATATCATTATTAAACTCCCTTTTTTGATAATTGTACTGTGGTTATGTAAGAGAATATTCTTAAGAAATACACACTCAAGCATGAAGGGGTGAAAGGGCATAATGTATGTAACCTACTTTTAAATAATTCAGTAAGGAAGTGTATCTATGGATAGAATGGTAAAGCAAATTAGGTAAAATGGTGAACTGCATGAATCTTGGCAAAAGTATATGGGGGTTACTTTACTTCTATTTTGCTGTTCTTTGGTAAATCTGAAATTATTTCAGAATAAACAATTAAAGAATGACTTCAATTAGAAGATACAACCTTCCAGTATTCTTAATACTATAGTTGAATACACAGTTTATTGTCAAACTTATTAGAATCCAAAGCAAAATACCGGTTTGATTAAATAGCTGTTACTGTCTTTATTAAGTAGTAACAACTATAGAAAGAACACCAGACTTCTGTGTTTGAGTCCTAACTCTGCCCTTGACTAGCTCAATAGTGTGAATCTGTATAAATAGTCCTGAGCCCCAGCTGCTTCCTATGTAAAACAACTAGAAATGATATTCTATTGGTGTAAGGACTCAAACATTCATCTCCCGTATGGACAACACAAAGTTCAGCCTAAGGCCCCTAGGTACAGGATAGCTGCCAATTATGTTACCTATATCTTCCACTTAAATATGTGGGAAGATATAGGTGTTTTCAAATAAATGTGTTTTATCTCTCTCCTTTGTGGGTAATTTTTGTTAATTATTGCTTATACCTATTGCTTTACTACTCAAAGTATGATCTGCGGACCAGCGACATCCAGCACCACCTGAGAGATTATTAGGAATGCAGAAGAATCTCAAGCCCCACCCCACACCTACTGAATCACAACCTACATTTTAACAAGATCCCCAGGTGATTCACAGGCACATTCAAGTTTGAGAAGCATTGGTGGTATTGGGTTAGATACTGGTATTCCTCATATCAAATTTATACATCTCTTCATAGAAAATATAGGAAACAGAGGTATTTCATAACTATCAAATAAAAACCTTTATAAAACACCAATATTTCTAATTCCTTTTTTTAAATTTTTTTTTTTTTATATTACCGACCCTCCTAAATTCCCTTTTTAAGTGTATGTGGGTGACTAGGATTATGACCCAAGATTCGATTCTCATAGTGATCTTGGTATTCATTCTTTAAAAGTGGCACAGAACTCAAGACTTGAAACATGCTATTCAAAGTGTGGTCCTTGGTTTGCAAAGTATGATCACTGGTTTGTAATCTGTTACCCATCCACAATGAGATATGTATAGAAGTTGAGAGAATAAGTGTTTTGAGACTCATCCATGTAACTTAGATTAGGTAAATTACCAAGCAAGCTTGTAAGTCACATTAGAAACTTTAAATATCAATATAAAATATTAGTTGAAAGTGTGCACATGAGAGTTTAAAATGGAGAATCATTAATTTATTTGTTGAGATATAACTCATATAAGACTCACCCTTTAAAAGTGTACTGAGTGGTTTTGTATATATTCACAAAAATCATCCAATCATCACCACTATCTGATTACAAAACATTTTCATTGCCCCAAACCCTGTGCCCATTATTAGCTGCTCTCCAGTCACCCTTCCCTCAGTCCCTGGAAACTACTAATCTACTTACTGTTTCTATGGATTTGCCTATACTCGACATTTTATATAAATGAAATCATACAATGTGGGATCTTTTGGACTGGCTTATTTCAGTTAACATAATGTTTTCAAGGTTCATCCATGTTGTGGCATGTGTTAGAATTTCCTTTCTATGGCTGAATAATATCCCCTTGTTATTACTGAATGGATATACAACATTTCACTTATCCATTCAACACAGATTGTTTACACTATTTTGGCTATTATGAATAATGCTGCAGTGTACCTCCATGCACAAGTTTTTGTGTGGACACGTGCTTTCATTTCTCTTGCATATATACCAAGGAGTAGGATTGCTGGGTCATATGGTAACAGTTTAACATTCAAGAAACTGCCAGACTATATTCCACAGCATGTGTACCACTTTACATTCCTACTAGCAATGTATGAGGGTTCCAATTTCCTCCGCATCCTCACTAGCACCTGTTATTTTCCCTTTTTTTTTTTTTTTTTTGAGACAGAGTCTCGCTTTGTTGCCCAGGCTAGAGTGAGTGCCGTAGCGTCAGCCTAGCTCACAGCAACCTCAAACTCCTGGGCTCAAGCGATCCTTCTGCCTCAGCCTCCCGAGTAGCTGGGACTACAGGCATGCGCCACCATGCCCGGCTAATTTATTCTATATATATATATTTTTAGTTGTCCAGATCATTTCTTTCTATTTTTTAGTAGAGACGGGGTCTCGCTCTTGCTCAGGCTGGTCTCGAACTCCTGACCTTGAGCGATCCACCCGCCTCAGCCTCCCAGAGTGCTAGGATTACAGACATGAGCCACCGTGCCCGGCCTATTTTCCCTTTTCTTGATGATAGTCACCCTAATGGGTATAAAGCCACACCTTTGGTTTGTGATTTCCCTGATAAAGATGTTGAGCATCTTTGTTGAGCATCTTTGTGTTTATTGACCATTTGTATTTCTTTGGAGAAATGTCTTTTGAAATTCTTTGCCCATTTTTAAATTGGGCTTTTTATTGTTGTGTTGTAAGAATTCTTTACATATGCTAGATATGAAACCCTTATTAAACAATTTGTAAATATTTTCTCCAATTCTATGGGTTGTCTTGCTAACTCTCTTTTTATGTTTAAACTTATGAGTTATAGCAAGTCTTTATTAATTAGTTATACGCTGTCAATGAACATACAGTTTCTAATTCTTTTTTCAAACCTGTATGTTTTTGTTAAAATGCTATTTCACATGTGTTGAATCTAATAAAAATCTGAGCTTTTGTTTTTCCATTTTTTTCCTAGCAATCATTTATTTTATTTTATTAAAGTGTTGGCCTGTGACAAATTAAACAGTTCTTTAATACAGGTAGTTAGAAAGAACTGGGCTAGAATGTTTTAGACTTGGAGTGTTGTGCCCTAGACTGAGTATATCTAGTATTTTTCTTTTCCAGCACCAATGTTTGCCTTTACCTGACTTCGATAGTATTTTTATAGAAACGTCCTACCAACAGTCTTCCCTTTGGCTTAGAAGCTAAGAGGTTCTTGAAAAGCTAAGCACCTAAGGTTCTGGGTCTTGATCCATTTTCTTTTTTCTTTTTTTTAACTGTAAAATGTTTATTGATGGTAATGTTATATAATTTATTCCCAATATTTGATACAAACTTTAGGGTTTTTGAGATATGTGGAATCCTTGTATGCTAACTGGCATAAATTCTACGATGAGAGCTGTCTTAATCGCTTTTGTGATTTCTTTCTGCTTCCTCCCAAAGACCTCTTACGTTCCTTTCATAAATGCATCCTGTAAACAGAGAATTAAACTGGGACAAAAGCTGTGCATTCTTCTAATCTACACTGTTTTCGCACAAGATACACTTCTTAATAGGCTCCTTATGATGATATTCCATTGGAATAGCAAGTCCTCATTGCTGGTTTCCTGTTTATACTGTGAACAACCTCTGCTCCACATCACTGCATGAGTTCTGGCCGTTACCCAGTGTGTCAACTTTTTCCTCCCTAGACCACTGCCAACAGCACCCACAGCTGCTGTGAATCCTCATTTTATTTTCTTACCTGAGAGTATCCACCAGTCGTCTAGCAATGCGCTTTCTTCTCTTCAATCTGAAAACCCAGATTCTACTTATCCCACAGACTGCAGGTACTGGTACATTTGAACACTGCCAAGCCCTGGGACATTCTTTAGAGCTTAGGGATTCTGCGCCAGTTGGTTCAGACAGGACACGAAAGGCCTGAAATGATATATAGAAGCATCTTTAGCTAACAACACAGATTAAGTTCTGGACTATTGTCCAGTATACTGTACTATTGTCCAGTATGGTGACTATAGTTAATGTGTATTTGAAAATTGCTAAGACAGTAGCTCTTAAATGTTCTCATCACAAAAAATTGGTAAGTATGTGCAACAAAGGATGTCGGCTTCAGTTAGTCATTTTACAATGTATACGTATATCAAAACATCTCATTATACACAGTAAATAGATACAATTTTCATTTGTCAGTTATACCTTAATAGAGCTGAGGGGGGAAAAATAAGGAAAAGGCCAAATTGGTCACTTTTACTGCCAATACAAACCCGCTGCATTACTCCCCAACTCCTAATAATACCAGGGGAGACCATAACATCTTCTAGAACACTGCTAATTAGTACCAAAATTAGATTCTCATTAAGGGATAAGTAATGATTATTTTGTCATGCATTTTTTTTTGTTTGTTTTGAGACAGAGTCTTACTCTGTTGCCTGGGCTAGAGTGCCGTGGCTTCAGCCTAGCTCACAGCAACCTCAAACTCCTGGGCTCAAGCGATCCTACTGCCTCAGCCTCCCGAGTAGCTGGGACTACAGGCATGCACCACCATGCCCGGCTAATTTTTTCTATATATATATATATTTAGTTGTCCAGATAATTTCTTTCTATTTTTTTAGTAGAGACGGGGTCTTGCTCTTGCTCAGGCTGGTCTTGAACTCCTGACCTTGAGCGATCCACCCACCTCGGCCTCCCAGAGTGCTAAGATTAAAGGCGTGAGCCACCGCGCCTGGCCTGTCATGCATATTAACCATTACTAAGTTACATGTTCAATAACTTGGGTCTATAGATTTGCTTATTTAAAATCACTATACTATGGAAATGACTATGTGAACATAAGACCAGCTTACTTATCCTGCTTATGTAAGGCAAAATGTCCAAATGTTAATAGAAATAAATGACTTCTATTATCCATATGGTCAAGGATATTTTAGTAGGAAAATGTCATTAATGGCAGCGATCTTAAATGCTTATTGAGACTCCTCCCAACTTTTCTCTTTATTCTGGTCACAAATTATACCAATAATTTAAAAGACATATACCATACCTGTTTGATGGGCTCTGCAATTAAACATCCAACTACTCTCTTTTCATCAGATATAAAGAGAAAAGTTTTGGTTTTGTCTGGACACTGGGAAACAACTTGCTGGAAGCCCAGTTCATTATCAACAAGTTCTTGGACATCTTCTACCTAACAATGTTAAAACAGAAAAAGGTGAATTTGTTTTTAAAACTACAGTAGAAAGTACCCATTTATATACACAAAATGTCTGATTACTACCGTTTTAGCCTTTTACTTCTAATTCCCTAAATTTATACACCCCTCAAATTATTTCACTATTGATGCATGTAGCTACTACTTTGGAAACAAGATTTTAAAAACCTATTTTAAAGATCATTTAAAAAGAAAAAAAAAAAAGATCATTTTCACCACAATGAAATTCAGATATCTGGAAGGGGTAAGGAGTAGAAGTACCAAAACAGATTTGTTTACACTTGATTCACTGTTTATGGCAACTAAACATCGAACCCAAGAAACATAGGAAACACCAACATAAGAAAGAGACCCCAGGGCCATTAATTTCTCAACACTGAAAAGTGTAGTTCATCTTTCACAAGTGAAAAAAGGCAAAAGATAAGCTGTGCAGCATTATCTGCTTCCTTTAATCTCCAGCTGATACTCCTTTGTCTTGTAATTCTAAATTTAGTTTTGTATAAACTACGAAAGTCATCCCTAGGCATGTACCCAAGTGGATTACATGTCAGCGAAGGCAGTTCACACTTTAACAAAGGTTGATTTCTTGGGCATGGGAGAAGAACAAGGATTAAAAAGATAATGTTTCACACCTTTCTGAGAGCATAACTTGGATCACGTGGCAGGACCAACACGATTTTCCCATCCCAAAACTCTGCTACTACTCGTTCTTTCTTCCACCCCTGCCAAAGGGGGAAAAAAAAGGGTCACAGTATAATTTGTGAAAAGGAAAACAACGACATTAAATAATTTGGTCTGGAGAAGACAAAAGGCTAAACACGAATAATATTAAAAAAAAAAAAAAAAGGATGAAGTCAACTAAAAGTAAGGTGAGAAGGGAAACAAAAGATGCCTAAAACAAAGAGCCTGTCCTCAATGGGCTGACACCCTATTTGGAGACGTGTATAATCTAGTATAAAACAAAATAAAACAAGAGCCCTTCATAGAAACATAGAGAAAGAAATACTGAATTATCAGGGGTGAGCAGGTGGGGTAGGGGTAGTAGGCTAAGCAGAACTCCAAGGAAAGGCTCAGTAGGAGTCCTTAGACTTCTGTCCCTTATGCTTGACAAGACTATGTGGACAGGCTCATTGTCTTACTAACCACTTTAATCTCAGTCCCTAGCATAGTGCTTTGGTATGTGGACCCAGTGCTTAACTGAAAGATGTTGAAGTAGTATGACATTTGATAAGGGTTTTAAAAAGCTTGGTAAGATTTCAATGAACATAACGGAGGTGGTGGTCACTCCAGGCTAAGGTAACTAACTGAATAAGCAAAGGTGCAGAGAATGGCAAAAAGTCTGATGTGATTGACTGAATGACTGGAAGAAATGAGACTGGAATATCTGGAATAAATTTAGTAAGATCCACATGAAGAAAACTATAAAATTTTCCTGAAGGATATAAAAGACATGAATCAACAGAGTTATACCAAGTTCCTGAACTGGAAGACTATGAAAAATAGAACTTTTTTTACCCTAGAGAAAATGACATCAGTTTGACTACAATTTCAATCAAAATTCCAAAAGGTTTTTTATTTTGGGGGAACTTAATGATAGGCTCATTTTACAGTTTATCTGGAAGAGTAATGTGTAGAAAAAGTCACGATATTTTTGAAGAAAAAGATGAAAGGAGACTTACTTGACCAGATATCCAAACAGAGTATGAAGCTACATTTAAGAGTGTGGTATTGGCACAGAAACAAAGATCAGAACGATGTTCACTAACAGACTCATTTGTATGTGGGAATTTAGAATACATGAAAGGTGACATTGATAATCAGTGTGGAACGTGAACTAGTCAAACAGCAATGTTGGCACACTTGGCAACCCTTTAGGAAAAATACAAAGTTAAGATCCAACTGTAATGCTATGTCTTAAAACATTTTGAATGGATTAAAGATCCAAATATAAAATTTATAGCTATAAAAATATTTTTAAAAATATAGGAAATGGGAAGAGGGAGGAGGGCTGGGTAAATTCACACCTAACAGGTATAATGCACACTATTGGGGTGATGGGCACACTTATAACATTGACTCAAACTGTACAAAAGCAGTACATGTAGCCAAAACATTGGTATCCCAGTAATATTCTGAAATTAAAAAAAAATAAAAATATATATAAGAAAAACTTTTTATTAATCTTGGGATTGAGAATGATGTTCCTGAAACCCAGTGGTCACAAATCAATTAAAATTTTAATTTTGATTTTCTGTGGCAATATACACCATAAAAAGTTTTAAAAAAAAAATCAAGTAATGGTATTTGTATATTCAGAACATATCTCTGGAAGACATACAGATGAAACTGTTAATGCTGGATGCCTGTGGACAGGGGAACTGGTAACTGAAAGAGGTAGGGAGAGAGAATTTTCATTGGATACACTTTTGCATCTCATGAATTTTGACACGTGAAAGAAAGCAACCCAATATGGTATAGACAGGCTTCATCAGAAGAATTTGGTTTGTTCCAGATCTTAGAGCTCAAGGGGGAACGCGCCATGTGACCAGGTGGGCAGGGGCAAGATAACGAAGGGCTCAGCTGGCCATGGTGAGGATTTTCGGTTTTATTCCCAGTGCAATGGGAAGTTGTCAAATTTGAAGCAGAAAACATAAGAATTGTACTTATATCTTAGAAAGAACTCCCTGGTTGATGTACAGAAAACAGATCAGAGAGGGCAAGAATTTAAACTATACACATACATACATTCTCTCTCATACACACACATATATTTTATATACACATATATAGAGAAGGTTGAGGCCAGATTAAGGATCACCTAACCGCTGGCAGGAGTTTTTCTAAAAGTATGTAGAATCATACTAGACTTATGTTTTAAGAAGTTATTCTGGTAGCACTGTGGGAGCCCAGTAAGGAAGCTGGTTTAATAAACCAATCTAAAAATACTGTAAAGGCATGAACTATGACAATAAAAATAGGAAAAAAGGAATATATTTGAGTAGCAAGTACAACCATAAATATAAGGCCAACCATAGGCTGTGTTTGGACTTGAAAGTTGTTTGATAAAGAGGTAGAACCTCTCCTCTCAGAAAAAGCCTGGAAAAATCAAAGAAAGGTTGTTTTTCTAAAGCCATCTATAAAGAAGAGACAAAAACAGGAAGAGGGGATCTCTTCAAGTCTTCGAGTTTTGTACCTCCTGATTATTCAGTTCTGCTCAGAATGCAGGGTATTTATAAACACTTCTTTTATATTAGGATAGTAAGTTTGAAACAACATCATTGAAAGTTTTAGTAGTGTCAGCCTCAAATTTTAAGGACAAGAAAACTGCAGACAATGAAATATTTATGTATGCATAGATCTTTTGTATTTAATTTCAACAGTCTCTCTTAAGGAAGTTTTACTTTTAGGACAAATCTGACTTACCACATATTTGATTCCTTCCAGAAATCTGTGGTGATGCTGAACATGCTGCATTTCATCTTCAGGGCTGGAAGCAGCATATATCATGCCACAAGATTTACACATAGTAGCCCCAAAATGTTTCTGACCTGCATCCTGTAATTGAGCGGGGGGGGGGGGGGGGGGGGGGGGGAAGCCAATCTAAATGTATCACAAACAGCTCTAAATTAAGTTCATGTAACTATTCACTCAAATTTCTCCTTATTTTTCTTTTTATGCTGGCACAAGTGAAAGACTAAATGAAAGTCTGATTACTACACCTTTCTCTCTCTCCTCCCCTCCCCCAAAACAAAGTAGAATGAGAAGAGACCTAAAAACACAATAAATTGATAAAAGTGATAGAATTGTTTCTCTGAAAGCACAGCATAAAAAAAAAAAAAACCTGAGATTCTTCACTAGACCCATAGTTCTAAGAAGGAATAAGATTAAATCATAAAAATTATAGCTAGAATGAACCACGGGACTTCTTTATGAAGCTCTTATATCAAAGACCTAAAATAATCTTACTTCTCTCTCAGCTTTCAGATGTCTGCATGGAAAAAAAAAATCTTATTTCAAAGAGGAAGGGCAAAAAATTCCAGGATTTCTGTATTAATTATACACTATTTTCTCCTTAAGCAGTTAGGAATATTAATTTATTTATTTTTAAAGAATACTAAGATTCTTTGATCCAAGAGCTTATAAAAAATGAATATATAATAAAAGTCCAGGAAAAGCACAGATACATTCATGAATATAGGGAAGTCAGGAATATTCAATGGCACAATCTACAACCATTGAAAATACCAGCTTCTCAACTGTCTAACACAGGGCTTGACGAACTTTTTCTGTAAAGGGCCAGACAGTAAATCTTTTAGGCTTTGCAGGCCACACATGGTTTGTCACATACTCTTCTCTCTTTCAAACCTTTAAAACTGTAAAAACCACTTTTAGCTTACAGGCCGTGGGTCAGGTTTGGCCCGTAGCCAAAGGTCTAACTCAGTATAGCGATTTCCATCAAATCTTTTGTCAATCAACAATAATTTTCTTTACCTGGAGACAACTCATTCATCACATTCTACTAAAATACTAGCAATTGTCCAATATTATCAGTTCAAAAGTCTACTGACTAGCTTTAAATGTGGTCAGTACAACAAAACTGGCTTTTATAAAACTCAGAATATCAATAAACCCAAGTTAACTATGCTAAGTTAAAATGTCTGACTTCAGGCTCTTTATGTGACAGCCATGACAAGAGCTTTCTTTTGAATTTACTCACAATGACAAGCTGGTCTTTTGATTCTTTATTTGTATCTCTGGCATTAGTATTTTTCTGGGTATTGGTCTGTTTCAAGCCGTTAGTACATATGATGGATCCCACAGAAGACTGTTCTTCAGCTAGAGACCTTGAAATAGAAAGTTGATAAATATAATAATTTTAAAATGTTTGAACAATTACAATGAAAACAGACATATGTATATAACATTTACAGAGCACCTTGCGATTTTTAGTGTTTTCTGTCTGACAATAACTTGATGAAGCAGTAGGGACAGGAACAATGAGAAACCTGAGGCCCACTCAGAGAGGGTCAGTAATTTACTCAAGGTAAAGTAACTAGTGATCGGCAGTGTTAAGTCAAATCCTGGTCTTCTGACTCTAATCCAAGGGACTTTCCTCTACAGTATCAGATGCACATAGGTAGAACCACTTTGGAAGTTGACTTCACCCTTAAAAGATCTTTTTTTGCTTTATCAAATCTTAGGACATTTACCTGTGTAGGTATAAAAAATTCCTATAGCAAATAAGTAGACTCTAATACTGAATCTCACAGATCCACAGGAAATCACAGTTACCAGCGTATTATGATCCAACAACTTTTTACTTGGGCTATGAGGCTAATAAATTCACTTTTCCTCATACAGAAAGTAGTACTCCACTACTATAAAATTCTTAAGGAAAAAAAAAAAAAAAGTTTGGCTGGATAGCTGTAGTTGAGCCCTTTTCCCATTAGGAAAGAATGTTGGGATTGGCTTACAGAGGTTTCAAACTAGAGCCCTTCAGGCCAAATCCAGCTAGCAGATATGTTTTGGGTGGCCCACATGGTGTTTTAAACTTTGGATTAGCTATCAATATTTTAAAATCTAGAGATTTCACTTAAAAATGTGTATTTCCAACATTACAAGAGACACTACAAGATCACTAGACCTCTATTCCTTCAAAGAATCAACTAGTTGGAGCTTGAAATAGCACATGCTCTTTTAAATGGGGCATGCCATTCTCCAAGTGGCCCTAGTCTCCACCCAGCCTGCTGGCTCTGGAGGCAGGGAGTTTGTAACTCTTGCTTTATAATGAAAGGACCTTGGTTTTCGGGGAACAAAAAGGAGAAGTCTTTAGAGAATAGAAGTAAATAGGCAAGGAAAAAACCAAGTGCCCAAAAGTAAGAAATTAAGACAGTAGAAAAAAACTTGACAAGTAAAAAGAAAGTAGAAAAAAAACTACACAATGCTTTAAGCTAAGTCAAGCTGTCTTGTTATCATTTGTCTGAAAAAGTGGCTTTCAAAATGACTTGACAAACCTATGGTAACAGATGTATTTCACATCAAGACTAGTAACACATAACAACTAAAGCCCAAGTCTCGCTAAATACATTTGCTGTGTGAGATGTACTATTCCAGTAAAAAAACTCTGGATATGACACCCTAAAACAGGTCTGACAAACTACTAATGCGCTGCTACTTGCAGTATGAAAAACACTTGTCAAGATCATTGACCCTTTCCACTTTATGCAGCCTTTGCTAAACAACTCAGCTCTCCCTGACCCTGCATACATGACAGCAATCTCTTTATTTTCATCTTAACAATTGGAACGCTTTTATACTCATTTGTTTAAATGCCTGTCCTCCTCTAATCATAACCTCCCTTGATAGCAGGACCATGTGCTATTTAGCTTCACATCTCTAGAACTCAGGATATAGTTCAACAGCACACAGTAGATGCTCTCTAAATGTCTGTCAAATGAATGAATACAAAAAACAAATGTGAGACCGTGCACCTGGAGAATCTATACTCTACTTGAAGCAAAAGTAATAGATTTAACCACAAGAAATTGTTACCTGATGTCTTGGAGTCTACAAAAAAGTAATTTCATATAATAGTGTCCCTTGGAAGAATCAAAAGCAGGCAATAGAAAAGAAAAATAAATAAATAAATAAAAAAGAATAGTGTCCCAATATCTTTTTATGCTAGATGAAATTAGTATATATTTTTAATCAGCTAATTGTAGTAGGCTTCTGCTATGGTTTGAATGTCACCCAAAGTTAATGTGTGGAAACTTAATCCCTAATGCAACACAGCTGGGAGGTGAGGCCTAATGGGAGGTGTTTAGCTCATGAGAGCTCCATCCTCATGAATGGATTAATGTCAATTATTAAAGGCTTTGCAACTGCAAGCAAGCTCTCTTGCTTTTTTGTATCCATTCTCTTTGTCCTTCTGCCGCAGCATGAGGCAGAAAGAGGGCCCTCACCAGATGTGGCTGCTAGGTCTTAGACTTACCTAAGCCAAATAAATTCTTGGCCATTATAAATTACCTAGTCTGTGGTATTCTATGATAGCAACACCAAACAAACTAAGCTTCCATCTTTAACAACAAGTCACAAAAGAAGACAACACAGGTAAGAAAAGGCAAAGATGAAAAAAACTGGGATCGTGGCCTTGAAAAGGAAAGTTGCTCAACCAACCTAATCACTGAATCAATTTAAGGTGAGGTACTCTAAGAGTAAGAGAATTTAGCCAGGAAGTTCCTTGCTTAATACCTCAAGTTATTTATCATCAAATGGGGAGAGAAGAATCAAAGCTACCTAGGAAGATGTTCAGACCATAAGAAACCTCTTTTTCAGAGCTCTGCCACCTATCATGCTCTCTACCCATCCACACCTCCCCCCACTGCAGGCTTTAACTTTGAACAGGATAGTGATAGCAGCTAGAATTATGATAACATTAAGCTGCTGTAAGTTACTTACTCCTCTGGCCAGTTTCCCCATCTATAATGTACGGTAGTAATGCTACCTACATAAGGTTGTAAATACTTATTAAATTTTAGCTATTATCAATATATCATCACCCAGGGAGGGCAATATAGCCTAATGGGCTTTTGATTCAGATATGAATTCTAGTCCTGCCCCCAGCACCTAATAGCTGTGCAATCGTGGCTAAATCACTAACACTTTCCCAAGCTGAAATGAAATTAATAATAGTATCTACCTTCTGAGTTGCTGTAAGGATTAAGTGAGATAATAGACACAAACTACTTATTATGGACCAGGTACTATATAATAATGTTAGTAATTACTATTATTCAAGCCTATAAAGATCTTTTTCATCTCTCAACTCTTAAGTTCTCAGGCAGTTTCTATGAGAGGGACTGATTTCATCTCCTGTTCTCAATGTTATTCTCCTATTCCTCTTAGTAAGGAAGAAAAAAATGTTCCCTAAGTTAAATTAGCATAAGAAAGAAAAAAAGTCCCCGAGGACCTATAATATAACCAATAATCCTTAAACTTTAAAACAAAAACAATGGTTACCTTTTAGTATTGACTGAAGACACATTGAAGATGGGATAGATGATGGACTTGGAAGAAACTGGGAGGGGGGAAAATGACAATAATTTGTATTACCATATAAAACCAAAGCTTTAAATCGTAAGATTTTAAAGGTTAATAAGACCAAAATACTCACATTACTCAAATTCAAGATTTAACAGTAATCAAGACAGTATGATATTGGCAAAAGAATAACAGATCAGTAGAACAAAATAGAGCCCAGAAATAGACCCACACGAAGTCAACTGATTTTTGACAAAGTGGCAAAAGTAATCTTGTGGAGAAAGGTGAGTCTTCAACAAATGGTGTTGGAACAATTAAATATCCATATGTAAAAAAAATTACACATACATCTTATGTAAAACTTAACTCAAAATGGATCACAGATCTAAACGTAAAACATAAATTATAAAACTTCTAGAAAAAATATTAGAAAAAAAGCTGCATGAACTTGGGTTTGTTGTTAAGTTTTTAGGTACAACACCACAAACATAATACATGAAAGAACTCTTATGGTACATCCACAGTTCAGTGATAAATGGGAATTACCACTAATACACGCAACATGGATGCATTTTAAGCACATTACTAACTGAAAGCAGCCAGACCCGAAAGGCTATATATTGCGCGATTTCATTTATATAATGCTTTTACCTGAAAAGGTAAGACTATAGGAATTGAAAACAGATTAATGGTTGCCAGGGGGTGGGGAGAGGGGCGAGTAGTTGACTACAAAGGGTAGGCATAAGGGAAATTTAGGGTGAAGAAATTTATGCGTTTAACAAAACCTATAGAACTGTATATCACAAAGAGTAAATGTCCATGTATAACAAAAGAAGAAAAAATATACATCAACTAGAACATTCAGGGATCCCAAGATAGAATGGAGACTGTAACGCACGAATTGAACTGTATGGCATAACTACACTGAAGGAAGCAAGGGGAGAAGGAGAAGCTGACCCAAGTAACTTTAGCAAATGGTATTTTGACTAGAAATTATGAGGTTAAAGACAGAAAGACTGTAAGACTGTACTTAACGATTATAATCTAATAGGTAATTTTTTTTTCTTACAGGGGTATGAATTAACAATTTTGAAACTGTTTTACATACATATACTGGGGCTGAATAAATACATGTAAAATAAGTATTCACAATGTAAATGTACAATGTAAAATATTCGCAAGTCCCTACTGATGCTGATTCAATCATTTATTTAAATGACTGAATAAACAGAGGCAGAGAAGAGACAAATCTTATTTAAAGCAGAATTTCAAATACTATATGTAGTTATTTTCCCCTTCAGGAAATGAAGCTTAATTCCCTCCACCCCCCAAAAAGGTAGGTTACGCTTAATAGTGACTAGGTTTCAAAGAATAAAGTACAGGAAGGCAAAATAGTAACTTTATAGTGGAGAAACCTGACACACATGACCTTAACCTGTTAATGAAGGTTGGCATCACTAGGATGCTGCGTAGCTATTATGTGTCCCCTGATACCAAGTGATCAGAAGGGCACTTCACTTCTGTGGTCTTCTTTCCAAAATCCCATAACCAGTCTAATAATGTGAAAAACATGAGACAAACCTAGATTCAGGGACATTATGCAGGGTATCTGGCTAGTATTCCTCAAGAATGTCATGGTCATAAAAAACACAGAAACAAGGAAAAGACAGTAAAAATGTCACAGACCAGAGAAGCCTAAAGAAACATGACAACTAAAAGTAACGTGGTACCTGGATTGGATCCTAGAACAGAAAGAGGACATTAATGGAAAACTCCAAATAAAGTCCAATGTTTAATTAACAGTAATATACCAAAACCAATATTCAGTGAACTCCAAATAAAGTCTAGTTTCTTAGGTTTGACAAAGGTGCTATGGTACTGTAAGTTGTTAACAATGGAGGAAATAAGGTAAGGGATACACAGCAATTCTCTGTACTGTAACTCTTCTGTAAAAATACAATTATGGCAAAATAAAAAGCCTATTAAAAAAAAAAAAAGACCAAAGTTAAAACAGCAGTTGATTTGAGAAAAATAAGTTGAAAGTGGGCTATTTAGTAAAAAAGCAAACTTTAACTTTGCATTAAAAAATAATTAGAGCTCATCTAGAAACAAGACTAAGGCAGGTGAGTCTGATCTGGTATGGGTAAGATACTTAACCTAAGTCCATTTCTTCATTTATAAATGGGCATAACAGAGCCAATTTCCTAGAGTAACTGGGAGAATTAAATGATAAACTGCAATTATTAAGTAATAAACTTCAATCATTTATATACTACTTTCATGACTTTTGCCATATCCTTGTACCATCTATTATTTTTATTTACTAAACATTTTTCTTTAAATTGACTTAGACAACACACTGAATTTTAAAAGAAAAATTTATAACAATTGTAAATAGAAGCCATTATCTGTTATACGTTCTATTATATCAGTACTAGGCATACAACCCATGGGAAACACATAATGTTCACTAAATACTTAGCACTGCTTGCTACATATTCAGCACTCAGTATATACTAGTTATTAACATTACATCTCAGAATTATCATAATGAATTATTCTATATATAATTAGATCCTCTAAGGGTTATTGTACCAGATTAAGCTTTTGGTTTTACTTTTTATTTACTTCCTGTGAGCTACAGCTTCTCATTATAGTCAACATGTCTACTCCTAGAATTTTATTTCCAAATTCATAGATATAACCAATGAGGTGAAGTTGCCAAGAATATGGCTGTGAAGTAAAATGCTAATTAACCTCTTTACATATTGGGCTTTGATCACAAATATATATATATATGACATTGTTTTAATTCCTATTATTATGGGTAAAAGATAGGGTGGGTATGATTTTATAAGAGCTTAATTTGGCCATGAACACAGACGAATTAAGCACCAGTATTTTGTCTGAAGTTTTAACCAAAGATCTCCTTGTCTCTACTTTTCAAAATGTACTGCACTTGCTTTACCACAGAAGAGCCACAGAGATAAACACAAAGATACTAACCACAGGCACGCCACTGAGGAAAAAAACCCAGAAAATATATGAATTATTGCATATGAAATATGTAATGAAGCATTATCACAAGTAGCCAAATTCATGTGAGTTTTCTCTTACTTACTTGTCTTGTTCTCACCAAGAGAATCCTCTGAAGAAAAACACTTATTTTTATCAACTTTACATTCCCTTGAAGAAACTACTCCATCTGATGAATCCTGAAAATGAAGTTTTAAAAAAAAAAAAAAAAAAAAAAGGAAATCTATAATTCTCATGTGTTTTCTATTTAGTGAATGAACCCCAATAGATCTGTTTCTAAGACAAAATATTTAGTTTATTAAGAATTACATTTCATAATGTAATTTTAAATCAATTTCCCATTTTTAGAAAAATTTCCTCTATTCATTAAATGTACATCACCTTTTAAAAGTCAGAGTATACATATTGTAATTTGCCATCCTGTCAAAAATGTATTATATACCCTGATAAAGATGGCAGAATGAAGATTATAGACCATCACTTCCATATCAATTAAATTAACAAGAAAAATTAGTAAGAATGGCAAAATTTTCCCCAAAAGCCACCAAACTGGAAAGGGACAACTTTTTGTCATAAACTTTAAAAGCAAGCAGCCAAAGAAAGAATAACATTCTGGAGTCACTGGAAAGGATTCTCCCAGAAAGGTTCCCACTTTTTGAACAGGGAAATAGGAAAAGCAAAATACAAAAAATCCTGACAAATTTCCCTGACAAAACCACTATTTTCGAATTATACTGGGGTATAGAGAAAAAGGAAAAAAAAACCTCGTTTAAAGTAGAACTTCTATTCAAGACCGTAATATTTCAGCAGAGGGCGGCTAACCTATTTGTTTGCCATTTCTCAGGACTCCATAATGACTTGGGGAATGGGTATCCTCATGAAAATCAGATTCAACCTTAGCTAGCAGAGATGAATCTTAGCAGTGGGTATTTAACAAAATCCTCAGAGAAAGCAGAGCTCGGTTCTACAAATTTAAGATGCACAAAAGCTTAGCTTCTCATTGTACTGAAAATTAGATAGAACTCAATACCACCTCCTTAAAGTGAAGCTCAGTAAAGAAAATGAAAATAAGGCAGAAAAGGGTGTTGCAAAGAATTGACCAGGTCCCCATATCAAGTTATTCTGATCTACCAAATAGAATAACTGGGAGATGGATGGGGAAATTGCAGACTATCCCCACTTTATTTAGCTGGATTGAGACTTAATTTTAGCTTGAGTTGTGCCCAAATGTTTTTTAAACTGAGGTAAATTTAAACACAGTGAAATGTACAGGTATAAAGTATACAGTTTGACGAATTTTGATAAATTTACATACCCATGTAACCCAAAACCCTATCAAGACACAGGGGTGTTTTGTTGGTAGAAACAGAATACGAACAATTAGTAGAATTAGACGGTCATGGCTTAGCCAGCAAGAACATGTCTCATTTAATAACATACTTGGCAATACTTGATAAACAGGAAGAAACATTTACAGTGAGGACTATAAATGTAAATGCCTACAAGGGCAGAAGGTAAGTAAAATTATCAAAACTGATCTAAATACATATATATACTGACTTAGTGGAAGGAAATGAAGAGCCCGTAAGTGTCAAATGGTATGATACTCAGCCGGATACTCAGCTGAGATTATTGCCATGTAGAAATGAAGGCTCTGCTTTGCCACACCTTTCAATTTTTTGAGACACCAAAAATCTGTTCTCTTGAATTTTAACAATTTTTTAATTATGTAGGCCAAGCAAAACATCCATAGGCTAGACTTGGTTCACTGGCCATGAATTTAGAAACTTTGTCATTGAGGTTTGGAATTTAGGTGATTACAAGAGGTATGAACTGGGGTTTGAGAGAAAGCAGTAGGAAGGACAATGATGAGAGGTGGATTAGAAGGGAAATGACCAAAGAGAGTATCTGAATTGCTAGATATACGAGCCTATCATTCCTGCAGCTGCAAACATAGCGATGAGGATAAATAAGCCACCACAGACACAGAAGCCTTGATCTGGGAGACAGCCTTTCTTAAGGCCTGATACCTCAATTGTTTTCTAGCCCCAGCTACTTGAAAACAACTTTTTCTGGATCAGTTTACAGACAGAAAGTCAATAATATAAGTTCTAGACTACTGTAGTCTAATATGGTAGCCACCAGCCACATGTAGCTAATAAGGACTTGAAACATGGGTAGTCCAAATTGAGCTATGCTGTTAACTATAAAATAAACATGGATTTCAAGGACTTTGTACAAAAAAAGAATGCAAAATATCTTATAACCTTTTACATTGATTACGTTGAAATGGTAACATTTAAAATACACTGGGTTAAATTTTTTTACTTTTATTAATGTGGCCAAGTAGACAAATTTAAAATTACATGTGGCTCATATCAGACAGCATTAGCCTCGGCTGTGTTAAATATGAGCAGGACCAAATGAAAGTGCATAGAATGGGAACTGTGAAAACACAGCATGTAAAATAAACAAAACTCAACTATACATTTACTGTGATCATCTCCAGGTAGTGGGATTACAGAAGGTATTTTTCTATATATAGTTTCTATATACTCCAAAGTTTCTAGAATAATCTTCTACTTTAAATAAGCTGAAACAAGTAAAAAAAATGACATGCTTACACTCTGGAAACATACTACCTGAGTTTTGTTATTTCTACTTCCTAAAATCACTCATTACCAAATAAAGGTTATTAAGTTTCTCTGGACAGACTGTAATTTACTTACAAGGGAATTTAATGAAATGTATACTTTAATGCCAACAAAATGTCAGTAGGCTTCCTTAAGCCAAAAAAGGGAGAAAAATCTCATCTTTCCACCCTGCCTCTAAATTCTTTACATTTGGCTAAACTCTATTTGGCTTTATAAAAGCAATCCTCCAGACTGCAAAGAAAATCAAATTTTGTTCAACTATGTTATACACGTTATTTATATTGAAGATTTGTTATATAGCCAATTGTTTTTAAAGTGATATATTTAGCTTTCTTTACCTTTATTAATTTGTCTTCATTTTTACTTCTTGCACTCAGTAGCTCAATATTCATTTTCCTTTCCAGTAATAAGGACTTTGGCACTTGCCTTGTCTGAAAAGTTTTTCTTTCACTGACAGTCTCTACATCAGAATCTTCAGTCACTACTGATTTATTCTTTTGGGTGAGTCCCAGTGATGGTTCATTTTCCTGAGAAATTTTTCTAAGACAAGATTTTTTTCTACTAACAAAAAATGCCGCTCCACCCTGGAGTGTAACCTGTGGTTTTATTTTTTGGCTTAAAACTCGAGGAGCATTAGGATTATTTTCAGCTGAACAACAATTATTCTCTTTCTCCATTATTGGCTTATAGGCCACTCGATTTTGCTTAGAATTTTTAGAATTCCTTGATACAGGTTTGATGTGCTTATAACGTGGCTGATACTTAGCAGTTAAACTCTTCTGTGGTTTTTTCTTCCTCTTCTTGGAGCAAACTGGTTTTCCCTGAATTTTTTCTGTCACACCAGGAAAAGATTTATCTTCATTATTAGTTTTTAGACAAGTGGATCTACTATCTTTTATTAGCTTTCTCTCCAATGGATTGAGGTACGACTTATTTTTGTTGTTGTAAAAGGATAAAGTGGACACAGCAGATTTAAATGGTGAATGCTGATTTGCAGATAGCAATCTATCTTCTTCAGTTGTTTTGAGTGGACTTAAGACAAAATGGCCTTGTTGAGAGCAATGCACCTTTTCTTCATTTTTATCACTGCTCTGACAAATGTGCTTCTTATTAGGTGATGGAAATAGATTTTCAGTGAAGTGCAAAATTGATTTCTTTGATGGGACATCTGACAATAGGCTATGAAAAGAAACAAAGTCCATTGATAAGTTCATTATTTTGCTTCAAAATTTATGTAAATAAACTCTACCCATAGGTCATATTAAAAACAATACATCCCTCCCCAAACATACATACACATTAGTTTAAAAGTAGAATTATGTCTTTATCAAACAAAACATTCAAATATCATTCCAAAGTAAGATCCTATTAATGTCATGAAAACAGACATTGTATACAAAGAACCTCTGATATACATGTGTGTGTTTTAAAATCTATTTCTATATCTTGGCCATATACAATTACAGCCCATATAATTTGCTCAAGTGACTACAAGAAATCCCCTATAATGATTAATTCTGTAATAAACTGACCCCCTGGGGCCTTTCCTATAGAGAGTAATTTATATCTGTGAATACAGACTTTCTAGGATTGCTTAACATGCAAACCACCATGTAAAATATCACATTATTACATAAGAGAAAGGAAACAAGTAATAAAATATTTGATACACTTCCCAGCCATAGAAAACAGCTCTTTGATTCCCTCCAAAAGGACTAAATTCACTCAAAAATTTACCGTATTTCCTGACTAAAGTTAGAATACAGAATATTGCAATAGCCACAGGGAGCAGGCTAATGGAAGATTGGAAATTTTAGAAAATAGGAAAAAGAACAAGGAAAACAGGGAGGTATATTTTTCTTTATATATATATATATTTTTTTTATAGAGGTGGGGGGGGGTCTTGCTCTTGCTCAGGCTGGTCTCAAACTCCTGACCTCAAGCCATCCTCCCACCTCAGCCTCCCAGAGTGCTAGGATTACAGGCCTGAGGCGGCACCACTCTCCCACCCCCACCCCCATCTGGATTTTTCTTTTTTCAAGAGTTTCTATGCATATGATGAGACTCACCTTTCACAGTTCAAAGAATGCTGCTTCCTCTTCCTTGGAGTAAAAGATGCCATCTTAATTCCTAAAAGCAGTAGGACAATTATAATAACCAAATTCATCACAAGGGTATAAAAATCAGTATATCAAAATGATACCTAAAAGTCTGAAAAATTTTCAGATGGGTGATGGACCATAAAGATCCAAGAAAATGATATTTTAAAAAGCAAATTACTCTAATAAACATGTAAACCATGAATTTAAAAAGAGAAAACACTACACCACAGAAGCACATAAGAACAGAAAATAAAAGTAGGGATTATATCTATGTTTCAAGCTGGAAAATGATCTTACCAAGAAGGAAATAGTTTTTACCCTAATTCAGAGCACACTTTCCCCAAGTTTAAACACTGTCTTCTGGGAAGCCTCTCACCACACCCTGCCTCCCACCGTTAGATGCTCTTGTTCTCTTGCTTCCATTGCACCCCATATTCCCTTGATATTCTATTTAACATTTTTTTGTTGTTTACCCATCTGAACAGCCTGTATGTTCAATAAAGGCAGAGACTATTTTCAGCTTTTCATCAGAGCCCAGCCAGAAAATGGATGAAGCATAATCCTCTCCCATTTTACCAGCTGAGGATCCTCCAGCAAGCCGTTTGCTTCCTTACTTACAAAACACTAACGTCCTCAGGCTGCTCAAAACAAATTCTAGCATGCTCGTTAACTCTTGAGCAGAAAGCATGTTGCTCAATAAAAGCTCATTCCCTTCGCCTTCCTTTGGGTCAGGTGTATTCCTCCCCCCAAAATTACCTAAGCGTGATTTCAAAGCTAAGTGGACAAACAGAAAGACCGGGATCTCTGAGAATTTATATCAAGCTGCGGCTTACGGGAAGACCCTTCTGGGGCTGAGCGGAGAAAGGCAGGAGAGAGAAGTGTCCCGAATCCTGAACCCTGTCAGGGCGAAAAGACGGGAAAACGCCGGCGCCGGGAAGATGGAAACCCGGTGCAGGCGAGTGCGGAGAACCGGCCGGTGGCTCGGTCTCGGGCCCGCTGACGTGCCAAGCCCACGGCAACAGCTCTTTTCCGTCGACACTCAACCCCGTGTTTCACAGAGTCACCTGTTCTCCTCAGCCTTCCACCCCCAGCTTGGACCTTCCCCAGCTTTTTACCTGCGCCTCAGTGCCTGGCGACCTCTCCTCAGCCGAACCTAGCCGCTCTGAGAAGCGTATTCAAATTAACGCGCGCCAAGCGACGCGGAAGCCGCTCCGTTCCGATTCGCCGCTGCTCAGCGCTTCCACGAGCTGACTCCGTGATTGGTGTCTCATTAGCTCTTGCCCCGCCCACTCCTAGAGGTTGTTTCCAAAATTCTCCCGCCCTTGGGAGGCAGAAAGCTCTCTTCTCAGGGAAACCACGCCTCCCACAATCCCGTGCCCCCTCGCCGGGCTCCGTTCCCGGAGTCGTGTTTAGATGCATTCTGGGAGTTGTAGTTTTCGGCCCACTTGAACGCGTACACTCTGGGGTCTCTTGGTTTAAGAAGTTTTTGTAAAGTAGCTTCTCCAAGATTCTCGAGGCACTTGTTTTTCACATTTGAAACTTAGTCGTTAGTTTCCCTTTTTTTTATTAGTAACTTTAGGTTTCTATTTCATTATTTTTCAAGTTAAACTAAAAAAAATAAATCAGGAGTGAACATTTGCTTATGTGCCAGGCATTCTTAGACGCTTTACATGTTTTGTTTCATTTACTCCTCGCTGCAGTCTACGAGGTAATAACATCATTCCTATTTCATAGAGAATAAAACTGAGAGCCTGCAAACAATCATTATTTGCAGGGCATCGCTAGATTCGCAAAGCCAGAGGTTCCTCAAGCACTCACTGTCATTATTATCTTTGTGTCACCAGCTCCTGGTACAGTCTCTGGGACATTTTTAGTTCTAAATGAATTTAGTTAAGTGAATCGCTCAACTTCATAGAATGATGTCGGTGAGGATGAAGCAAGGGTGTCCGCCTAAAAGGAAGAGGGTGAGGCATAAAATACAATTTGAAGAGTTAACTTGAGCCAAAGGGAGGACAGCTTCCCACAAGACTCAGACCCAGGTAGCCTTGGATGTGAGCTCCACCTGGACTTGGGTACAAGCAAGTTTTTAAAGGCAAAAACGGGAACCAGGAGTAGGCTGTTAACAAAGTTGTCAGGAATTCTCATGGCTTATGGAAATGACATTGATTAGTAATTGGCTATACATTGTTAAGCTATGGGGGTGGGTTACAGTGTCCAGTGCAGCATTGTTAGGTTAATTTATGGCTACTTATGGCAATAGCAAGCAAGTCTGAGAGATGAATGTGTAGCTCAAGGAGGGGAAGTAGGACATGATTGCTGTCTCATTTTAATGTCCCTCTGGGCCTGATAATGTAAATGACTCGCATTCCTCAGATAAGAGTTCTTTTCTTTTCTTGAGGGAAATAATCAGGTAAAAGCTAAGTGCTGCGGGAGTTTGAGGGCACTATGTTCCAAACCCTTGACTCCTATTAACTTATTTAACCCTAGAAAAATATCCTGTGAGTTAGCTGCACTAGAATCACCTTCATGTCGCAGATGAGGAAAGTGAAGCACAGAGAGGTTAATTAACATGTCGGGGACGCCCATCCTCTCTTTCCCTCAACCCGCAAGTCATTGACCTCGCCCCACACCAATGCCCTTCACCTCGCCAGGATTAAAGATGGCACCGATGGCCCGGCGTTATGACGCGATCCGGCGTCCGCCGGAAGTGCGCGGAGAAGTTCCGGGGTACAGGTGGCCGCCGCGCTTCTGGTATCCCGAGCTTCGCGAGTTGAGTGCTGCTACTCCGCGGTGGAGTCGCCGCACGGTTTCAGGGATCATGGTGTTCTACTTCACCAGCAGCAGCGGTGAGTGGGCGCCGCGTCCTCCCGGATCCTTGCTAGACAGCGGGCTCCGAAGCCGGGATCTCCAGGCCGCCGCTGCGCGTGACTCTCGTCCTAAAGCGCCTCATTGGCAGCGAGTGCCTCTTCCCGCGCCCTCTCGGTTCCCCGCGCGTCAGTTCCACCCAGATGCTGTGTCGTCCTCGGCGCTCCCTCATCTGGGCCTGGGGGCGCGGAGGGGCGACGTCTCTGTTGTGTTTGCATCTGCAAGTTCTCATCCCCAATCGGAAAGACCTCCCATCGCCCTGGAATTGGGCAGACTTTGAGGGCCCCTTCACACACCTCCCCCATCCTCACTCGCCCCTGTTTTGGCTGCACCCTGGTAATGATCTCCTTTGAGAAAGCAGACACCTGCCAGTAACTCTCATGGAAAGTGCGCCTTACCCTCTAGGAAGTGACTACTCACCTGTCAGTTGATGTCCCGGATACTGAAAAATGACGATAATGCTTCTGATTTGTCTTTGGCAGGCAAGGAAAGGGTGCTTTTAGTTTCCAGGAAATGCTGTATCTCGACTTCGTTTCTCTGCTCATGTTATTTCCCTTGCCGAAAGTCAGCTCCCAGTTAACTCCTCCGTTAGGATACCTCTGACCTGTCTTCCAAGATGCCTTTCCTGACTTAGCTCCCACCCCAAGATCGCTTAGGTATTCCTTTTCTGGCACCCACTTAACATTCCAGGTATACCTTTAGCATTGCACTTACCACATGGTATTAAACGGTGTCTGCATGAGCTAGAGTGTGAGCCCCCTGAGGGCATGGACAGGATCTCTTTACAGCAGTCTCCGCTTATCCTCCCTTTCACTTTCTGTGGTCACATCATCACAAGAAGGGTGAGTACGGTACAATAAGATATTTTGAGAGAGAGCACATTCACATAATTTTTATCACAGTATATTATAATTATTTTATTATTGTCAATCTCTTGTACCTGATTTATAAATTAAACTTTATCGTAAGTATGTGTAGGAAAAAACAGTACAGTCATGTGTGTCACTTAAGGACAGGAATATGTTCTGAGAAATGCAGCATTGGTCGATTTCAGCCTTGTTCCAACATCACAGAGTGCACTTACACGAACCTAGATGGCATAGCCTACCACACACCTAGGCTATATGGTTCAGCCTATTGCTCCTGGGCTACAAATCTGTACAGCATGTTACTGTACTGAATGCTGTAGGCAATTATAACACAATGGTAAGTATTTGTGTATTTAAACATATACTAGGTGATGTGTTGTGCTGTCACCTTACCTAATATGTTACAATGGCTATGAGGTCACTAGGTAATAGGGATTTTTCAGCTCCATTATCTTACAGGACCACCATGGTACATATGGTACACTGTTGACCAAAGCAACACATCACTATATAGAGAGTTCAGTACTATCCGCAGTTTCAGGCAACCATGGGGGGTCTTGGAACATATTTCCCTGCCGGTAAGGGGGGGGACCTACTGTATTTGTTTCCATAACATAGTGTCTGGCTAATAATAGTTCTCAATAAATGCTTGTTGAATAAATGAATGATATTTTTGTACTTATAGCACTGTCTATTTTATTACTACTCTCTATGCTTGCTGGTTAAAGGTGAGATTTAAGTGAAACTAGTTCCACACCGTTTGTGTGGGTTTGAACAGGGTAGTACTTTCTCTTTAGAGATGAGAAGACTGAGGCCCGGGAAGCTGTAACTCACAGACTCCTGCTCTTCCTCTTCCACCACGCTGCCACATCCCATTAGTTTTCTCAGTAGTCTAGGCTCCCACAGTGTGGCATGAACTATTTCTCTGCCTCTGTAGATTTGGTTTGTTTTACCCATATTGTTAAAATTACTAGAAACAAAATTCAAAACCAGCCTGAAAAATTGCATACCCTTATAGGCCTCTAAGCATTTTCATCCTTGATAACAGGCATTTTCCACTCGTGAGAGTCCCCAACAATAGATATCCATACAAGCCCAAGAATGGAAGACAATTACAGGCAGGGTATTTAGGTACTAAATGCATTTTATGCTAGCTGCTCTGTTCCCCTTAAAGCTATTCTGAATTCTTTAAGAGCTAGTCATGCATAGAACAGAATGTTTCAGCAGATTTGTGGATCCCATGACTTACATTATAATGTCAGAATTGCTTCCTGTTGGAAACATATCTGGCCTCTAAGTCTAATAAAACTGCACTTGTATAGCAGATCTTTTAAAATGGCTAATGGAAAAATCATAACTTTCACAATAAAATAGTAATATTTTACATATGGGCAGTACAGAAAGAAACTTGAACATACAGAATCTTTAGGAAATGAATTTGTATGGATAGCCAAGTTTTCAACCAACTCATAGTTTACTGCATAAAAACTTTAAAAAATGGGAAGAAAATCTCCATAGAGTAGTTTTTACCTTTCCTTTTGTTTTAAGATTAGTATTTCTGAATAAAACTTGTTCCATTTTAATTCTTTGATGCTCTCTCATAAGGGAATAATTGAACATTAGTCTTATATATTACCAGTGTCAAATTCGATACCATCTGATTTATGGGTACCTACACTTGGCTCATTAAGTCCACTTGTACTTTTAGTATCTGTTAACTTTTCCTTTCTTAACATGGAAAGGAGCTTAATTCAGATTTCTTGCTCAGCAGTCATCTTCCTTTTTATTTTTAATGTTGACATAATTTTAGTTTTTCCAAAAAATTGCAAGAATAGTAAAAGACTTCCTGTACATGTTTCTCCCAGATTCCTCAATTTCTAACATTTTGCCACATTTGCCTTATCTCTTTCCTTCTCCCTTTCTCTTTT